TTAAAGAATTCTTTAAGCCTAAGCACCATCTCATATTTCACACACATTCAATCTTTTCCTAAAGCTATATTCATTATCAATCACAACCTATCATTGGCTACATGAAGAACTAATCAAAAAAAGTATAACAATGATTCAAGCTACCACTAGTCAAGCTCAATTTCAAAGTAAAAATTAAGAAAAATTTGAAAAAAAATTTAAAAATTTGAGCAATTTTCCTATACCCCTAAACTTAAACAACACATTGTCCTCAATGTGTAAGCATAAAGCAATAAAGCACAAAAGAGATGAATAAGAAAACTCCCCTATCATCATAGAAGCATGGTGACCGAATCATCCATCCAACCTTTGATTGAACTAGTGCTTTCTCTTTAAGCTCTTATTCAACTTACAAAATAAAGAAAACCAGTACAAGAAAAGATAAGTAAAATTTATGAAAACAAAACATGAAATGTAAAGCTTGGGTTGCCTCCCAAGAAGCACTTTATTTAAAGTAAAAAAGCTAAGCTATCTGAACAAGCTCACACTATATGTTCATAGTTATCACTCCACATTTGATTCTTGAATCCAACCATTTTAAGACCTTTATCTTTACCATCTCATAAAAAATATGGTCTAATGGTGGATCATGTGGCCAAGCAAGAGTAGTAGTTAACTTCTCAAGTGGGTTTTGGTTTTGGCATCCCGTCAATTGATCTATCATCAACATAAACCATATAATATCCTTCTTGCAACATATCCATACCATCATTCCTAGAAAGACTATGATAATTATGACTAAACTGAAATTGCTTAAAACTAATAAATTAACTAAAAATGAGATCCCATCAATAACAACTGGACCATCACCCCTAGGATTTTGATAAGTATCATCAAAATATACCTATTTCATAATCTGGTGAATCTAGATCTGAAGGTCTAATCACTTTAGAAAAAGTGTTAGGATCAACTAAATGCTCACCACTGGAAGGTGGTGAAAATTAAAAAGTAGAGAATATTAATATATCATCATCATCATCACTCAAATCCATGTCCTCTACCTTTTCAACTATAGGGGACTCCTCAAAATGCAAGATAGGATGCTCTCGGTGAAAAATATCATTATTCACATCATTAACTACCTCTACCCTTGAGCATTCATCTGAATCATCAAGGATTGGTAAAGCCTTAAAAACATGAAAAGTGACCTTCTGATCTTGAACTTGCATGTCAATCCCTCTTTTTGCACATCAATCAAAGTCTTAGTAATGGCTAAAAAGGTCTCCCTAAAATAATCAAGATCTCATGATCCACTTCTATATCTAGAACCATAAAGTCAGTAGGTAAAATAAATTTTTTTACCTTAACCAAGACATCATTCACAATCCCTTTAATATTTTTAGTGACTTGTCAACCAAATACAAAGTAATTGATGTAGGTTTAGCCTTCCATATGCCTAATCTCTAAAAAATGAACCAAGGCATCAGGTTAATGCTAGCATCTAAGTCAAACAAGGCTTTGTTAAAGAACATACTACCTATAGTACATGAATGGTAAAGGCACTAAGATCTTTAAGTTTCATAGGTAGTCCTCTTTGAATCATTGATGTACACATACTGGTAACTGTAACTGTCTCATAATCTTTTAATCTCCTCTTTTGAGAAATAATATATTTAATAAACTTTACATAGGTACGTATATATTCAAGTGCATCGATAAATGGGATATTAATATGCAGCTTTTTAAACACCTTAAGAAATTTAGAGAATTGATTTTTTTTCTTCTACTTCTCAAATTTTTAAGGGAAAGGAATGTAAGGTCTAGGTGGGTCAACTCTATAAGGAATAGGCCTAGATGAATTATGTATAGCACTAGAGGATGGTATTTGTGGTAACTGAGCAAAAATAGGTACTACACTTTCATCTTTCTTTTTACCCTTTCCTCCATCATGAATTAGGTCTCTATTAGGCTCATCATCATCAGACTTCTCAATTGCCATATCTTAAAACCTTGTCAGAGCCTGGCTATTAGCTAACTGCCTTATACTCTTAAGTGAGATTGCCTTGCAATGCTTCTTTCTTTCTCTCCTAGGGTTGACCTCTATGTTACTAGGTAAAGTACCTTGTGATTGGGTACTAATAAGGGTTACTAACTAACCAATCTGAGTCTTTAAGTTTTTTATAAACACGGACTGATTTTGAAACATGGTGTTTTGATTCTACATGAATGAGGTCTGAGCCCTAATAAAAAACCTATAAGATCTTCAACTGAAGGTTTTTTTAAAGGTTGCCATTGATGGATGTAGAGGTATGTAGTGCTGTAAATGCTGTTGGTGCTGAAACAGTGGCTATTGAAAACCTGATGGGTAAGGTGGTATAGTGGATTAAGGTTGCTATGTTATCTGCATGGACTGGATAGACTAAACTGGGTTATTACTCCAAACTGAGCCATATGTGGGAACATGTGGGTTGTTGTATTGCCTAGGGGTCTGTCCTAAATAATGGATACTTTCTGGGTGGGTGCTCAGATATGACTCTTTAGGGTGTACTACCTTGCATATATCACACATAGCTAATGAACTATAGGTATGAGTAAACCTATAATGACTAGGACTTGGCTTCGAAGGTGTAACCTTACTATGTAAAAACTTTACAAATTTGGCTAAGGAATCTACCTTAGCATTAATCGTTGTAAGCTCACTAACCTCGTACACCTTCGAAGCTCTCTTCAGATGCTATCTCTCATTAAACCACTGATAATTATTAGTCGTCATATCTTCAATGAGCTCATAAGCTATATCCAAAGTCTTACTTATCAAAGTAGCTCCTGATGCAGCATCTAAAAGTATCCTAGTGTTAGGCACTAACCCATTATAAAAAATTCGAATCTCCAACCATTTTAGTAGTTTATGGTGTGGATAATGCCTCAGGAGCTCCTTGTATCTTTCTCATGCCTCATACAAAGTCTTCGAGTCATGCTAGGCAAATTTAGTGATCTCATTCTAAAGCATGGCTATCTTGGCTGAAGGAAAAAATTAGCCATGAACTTCTGCACTAAATCATTCTAAGTGGTGATGAAATTTGGTGGCATCAAGACTAACCAACTTTTGGCTCTATCTCAAAAGGAAAATGGAAATAATCTAAGCTTAATGGCATCATTAGTAACACCATTCTATTTAAATGTATCATAAATCTCTAAAACATCTCAAAGATGAGCATTTGAATCTTCACTTGAATGTCCACTAAATTGCACTGATTGCTGTATCATCTGGATGATTGCAATTATAATCTTAAAATTATTGGCTTGAATCGCTAGCCTCCTAATACTAGACTGAAAACCATGAAGATTCGGCATAGCATAATCTTTAAGGATTAGTGCTTTGCTCGACCATAGTGATGGTAGGATTGGTTTGTCTTTTCTTCCTAATCCTCCTACGAGTAACTTCAAGCTCAAGATCTAAAAGGATCAACTCAAAATTGCTAACAAAATGCATACATGGCCCTTAAAAACACTAAACCTAGTAAACCACTCTAAAAATAAAACTCTAAGTATGTACACCTAGAAACAAAACAAATCTAATTTCTAGCCTACGGTATATACATTAAAGTGAACCAATCTATAATAGAGTATGGCAAAAGTTGATATTAACCTAGGACTACTTAGACCTAATCCTAGGCAATAATGCCAAAAACTTGATTAGGAAAACTGCAAGTGCATAGGCCATTGAAGTAATAGTAGAGACTATGAAAGTCTAGATGTCAATCCCACAGAGATAAGGTTGAACTTCCTAAGCTAAGTACCTTTTATCCACATACCTTTCTATAGTTAGCTCAATCAACAAATGAACATGAAAGTTAACTAAAAAAAAAATCAACCAAAGCATGTAACACAAATATAGTATGGTGTAAAATTGCAAAATGTAAACTAAGTAAAATAAAGTTAAAAACAGTAGGTAAATTGAAATGTAATCAACTAAACATGATTTAAAGTAAAAACATATTTGAAATGCAAGCAATAAAAAAATTGAAAAATCTAAGCTAGAACATGAAAATCGAAAGTATAGCAAAATCTAAAAACAGAATTTGAAACTACCATTCTAGCTCTAAATGATGCAAACTCAAGTTAACATGAACTAAAAAGTTAAAGTTTGACTAAGGAACAATATAAGAAGTAAAGAGAAAATAAAAAATTTTAGAAAAGTCACATGAAGGAATTAAAAAATAAACCAAATAGTAGTTGTGTTAAAATAGAATTTTAACAATTCATAAACTAAAAATATAGATTTAAAAATTTCAAATGAACATGAGCTTAAACTGAACTAAAACAAGATCAAACAACAAATTTACTACAGATTTCAACAAAAAATTCACAACAAAATAAAGTAAAAGTGGCTCAACCAGCTAGCAAACTAAACAACACTTACAAACATAGAAAACAGAACATGCACTACAAATGTGATCAAAATAGCAATGAAATGTAAAGAAATAAACTAGATCAAGTATGAATCAACAAGTAAACAAGTAAAACTAAGGATTTAGAGTGAAAAGAAACCAAACAACTAACCAAGGAGAGAGTAGTTCCATGCCAAACTTGGTTGATCACATTTGACCTGCACTTGTCATCTGCATTTAGATGAATATTCCAATCTTGATCTGGAATGTTGTGGTGCGAGTTTGAAGCTAAATTTTTAATATGTCGTAGATAATTAAATTAGGAAACTATGAAAAATAATTGAAAAAACAAGAAACATTTGAATGAGATATCATCAAAAAATTACAAGTAGGCCAGAACTGGCAAATTCAAAAACAAATTTGAGTATCAACAAAAAATCAGTAGATTTGAGCTAGAAATCAATAACGTTTGCAAGTTTCATTGCCAAAATCATAAAAAAAACACTGAAGAATACTTGAGGAAATATAAAAGTGCAATCAAAATCAATAGAAAGACATGAAGATCAAGGGTTGTTTGATTGCTAAGAAAATAAAATGTAGTAAAGAAAAATATAGAAATTAAAGGAAAAGAAAAATATAATCCTAAGCTAAAGTCTCTTTAAAATGGCTAGCTTCACTCCTATTTATAGGCGTGTGAGTGGTGAATGAAGCCCTAAAAAATCACTTTAGAAGATCTACAATGAGGTGATTTTCTAAAGACTTTTTTTCTCTTTACTTTTGCACTTGGTGCTTGGTTGTTTAGCTTTTCCTTCAACACTTTGTTAGCTTTTTTTGGACATGTAATGGGTGGTCTAATAAGTCAATTTAATGACCAATCAAAGCTCTTGAAAGTGCCATATCAGCCCCTTTAATTGGTGCTCTTGAACCAGCTTGAAACACTTTGAAATTTTAGTGCTCCTTCCAAGCACCATACACCAAATGCCCATCACCAACTTTTCTTTGCTTCATTCATTTTTTTCTTGCATAAATTGCAAACATTCTATGAATATTTTTATTACACATTTTACTAAAAAAAAAAAACCTATGAAAAAATAATAAAAAATAAAGTAAGAAAAGTCAAGAAAACTTCCTAAGTGTCAATGTTGCATATTGACACTAGTTCAGGCAAATTACATTATTTTGCATTAAAAATCTTCCAAAATGTATCCAATTTAACCAAATTTCTTTGTTTTCTCCATTTGTTCCTACACATGAGACAATTATGATTTTAGGAGTATTTTTGCTATGAAATTTTAAAACAAGGCTAAAATAATAGTTAAATTGCATAAAAATTAAGCATTAAGAAGCTAAAATTTTTAATGCAATCAACATCTCTATGGTCGACCTAAATCCATCTTCCATAAAAATCTTATGTGTGCAAAAAAAAAGGACTAATACCTCGAATGTCGGTAATGGACTAATCTATAGCTAGCTTATGATCATACAAGACTAAAAGAAGTCGTGCCTCTTGATCATCAATTAAAGATGCTGATATGATCATAGGCAAAGTGTCATCCTCACCTAAGTAAGCATACCTAAGGTGCGGCAGCAATGGTTTAAGCTCAAAACTAGTTGGTCCACCATAGAAGGTTTAATTACTCTAGAGAGAGTATCTGTGTCTACTAAAGGCTCAACACTAAGAGATGGTGCATATCGACCAGTATAAATCATCAAAATTGCATCATCATCATCATCCTTGCTCAAATCTGTATCCTCTACCTCATAATAAAAAAAGAATCCTTAAATTGCAAGATCGGATGCTCTAGGTGAAAAACATCATGGACCAAGCTATTGACTACCTCTACCTTAGAACATTCATCAAAATCATCCAGATACTTCAAAGCCTTAACAACATTAAACAAGACCTTCTGATCTTGTACTCACATAGTCAATTCACCCTTTTGCACATATATCAATGCCTTTCCAATGGCTAAAAATGGTCTCTCTAAAATAATTGAGATTTCACGATTCACCTCCATATCTAACACAATAAAATTAACAGGAAAAATAATTTTTTTTTACCCTAACCAAGACATCTTTTATTATTCTTTTAGGGTATTTCAGTGACCTATAGGCAAATTACAGACTAACTAAGGTGGGTTCGACCTCTTTTATGCTTAATTTTTGAAAAATAGACCAAAACATCAAGTTAATACTAGCACTTAGGTCACACAAAACTTTGTCAAAAGACATGCCATATATGACACAAGAATGGTAAAGTTACTGGGATCTTTAAACTTAGTAGGTAGTCATCTTTGAATCACTGATGTACACTTACTGGTGAGCACAACTGTCTCATAGTCCTCAAGCTTCTTCTTATGAGAGATAATATCTTTTATAAATTTTGCATAGGTTGGCATATATTCAAATGCATTTGCAAATGGAATATTAATGTGCAGCTTTTTGAACACCTCAAGAAATTTAAAGAATTGCTTCTCTTTCTTTTACTTTTGAAACAAGTTAAGGAAAGGAATATAAAGCATAAATGGCTCAACTCTATGAGAAACAGGCCTAGATGAACTTAGCATTGCACTAGAAAATATCTGTGGTAATTATGTATGAACATGGACTACATTTTCATCATTCTTTTTGCCTTCATCACCATCATGAATTAGATTCCTATCAAGCTCATCATTATTAGACCTCTTATCTCCCTTATCCTAAAAACCTATTTGGATCGGTCATTAGCTATATGCTTCCATTCCTAAGGGTGATTGTTTTGCATTGCTCCTTCTATTTCTCTTAGGGTTAACCTCTGTGTTACTAGGTAAAGTGCCCTGGGGTTGGGTACTTAAAAGGGTAGCTAGTTAACCAGTTTGGGATTTTAAGTTCTTTATGGATGCAAATTAGTTCTAAAACATAGTATTTTGGGTCTGCATAAATAAAGGCTGAGTTCTAATAAAAGAACTTAAAAGATCATCGACTGACTTTTTATGTAAAAATGGCATAGATAGATATGAATGTGTGTAGTGCTATTTTGAAGACAGCTGCTAAAAAGGTGGCGACTGAAAGTCAAGTAGGTAAGGTAGTCTAGGAAACTGAACATGTTGTGGTAGTGGTGGTATCAGTGGTAATAGTGCTTGACTAGGTTGACAAAATGTGGGATGGTGGTTTTGCTACTAATTCCAAGAGAAAATAGGATTATTCCTCCAGCTTGGGTTGTATGTGGAAGAATAACGATTATTGAACTGCCTAGGGTTTTGTCCTATAAATGAAACTAACTCTAAATGGGTATTCAAACCCAGGTGTCCTACCCCACATGTCTTGCACATAATTACAGAATTATGGATATGAGTAAACCTGGAATGACTAGGACTAAGCTTTAAAGATGTAACCTTCAATGTAAAGACTACAGATTTGGCTACGGAATCTACCTTAGTACTAAACATTGTAAGCTCACTAAGCTTATAGACCCTCAAAGCTTTCTGAAGATGCTATCTCTCATCAGACCACTAACAAGTATTAGTTGCCATATCCTCAATTAGATCATAAGCTATGTCAAAAGTCTTACTCATTAAAGCACCTCCTGATGTAGCATCTAAAAGTTTCCTAGTATTAGGTACTAACCCATTACAAAAGATTTGAATCTTCAACCATTTTGATAGTCTATGGTGTAAACACTGCCTCAGGAGTTCTTTGTATCTCTTCCATGTCTCATACAAGATCTCTGAGTCGTGCTAGGCAAATGCAGTAATTTCATTCTGAAGCTTGGCCGTCTTGGCTGGGGGAAAAAATTTAGCCATGAAATTCTGTATTAAATCATCTAAGTGGTGATGGAATTTGGTGGCATCGAGGCTAATAAACTTTTAGATCTATCTCTAAGGAAAATGGGAACAACATAGGCTTTATAAAAATGGCATCCTCAATAACACCATTATGTTTAAATGCATCAATATCTCCAAGAAATCCCAAAAATGAGCTTTTGGATCCTCACTCGAATGGCAACTAAATGGCACTGACTATTGTATCATTTGGATGATTGCAAGTTTAATCTCAAAATTATTGGCTTATATGGTTGACCTCCTAATTTGCCAACTCAGCTTAGTTTTTTGGTGCCTTTAATCCCAGCTGCCTTATTGCACTTTTGGTGTTCAATTCATACACCATGCATGAACCAGATGCAGGTAACAAAGATTTTTCCTTTATTAAGGAAGAGCAGCCTTGTTGTATTTATTCCTAATAAAAATGGAGAAAGAAAACACATCTTTGTTCTGTCCTATAGGACGATCATGTTTAAATAGCCTGCATTAGAACAAAACCACCTTTGAACTCTAAATTTTTTGCGGGTAAATGTTACAGCAGATCACCGTGTCATGCTGAAGCTTCATTCTTGCAAACCCTGACTAAGATTATTGAGGATCCCAAGGACCTTATGTTCTAGTCTAACCCCCTTTCACGCAAGGATGTCCCATGGCGTTGTCGTTTTCAGATAATTGTCTTGTAGCATGCTCCCCAACATTCATGTGTTTGAAATCAATTATACTTGATCTTGGAATGTACTTGAGATAGAAAAATGTAGGGGCCTATCACAATTTGTTCGAGTTTTCAGTAGAGAACAAGACCAAAATTTCCCAGAGCAATGGTTACATCAACTTTTTTTTTTTTTTTCAGGTTCTATTTTCTTTAGTTCATCCGTATTTTTTATGTTAACTTCTCTGTTGCTATTAACCATCTTCATCATCTTGCTATCAATTAAATTTTGGCTGTTAATTACTCTTATATCAATAAAGTTGTTCTGTTTGTTTTCTAATTTATCACTATCTTTTTTGTAAGTTCTCTATATTTTTTTATATTTAAGTTGTCAGAATTTAAATTTGATCACTGAAATTAAAGAATTTAGCATTCCACTAATAAGAAACAAAAAGTTTAGCACTCTACTAACGACTGCCAGCTTAAATCCTTATTATTCGGGAGCATTATCTATTAAGATTCTACAATTATATAATCACAACAATAAATTAGAATCCATCACTTGTGCAAGTGGGCTTCATCCAAACTTATCCATCGCATAATCCATGATTATGATTGGACAATTGGCCATTGACTATGATTTCTTTAAAACTGAGTTTTACAAAGGTACTGTAAACTACAGAAGCCAAAATTGATAGGTATATATTACATATGAGAATGCATTCAAAACTAACCATTTCTACATGTAGGTTGCCTGCCTACCGCTACCACGGCCCTGTATGCCGGTACTGGTTTTCTTCTATCTATTGTAATTTGTATGAAACAGAGTTGCTAATTAAGGTATATAAAGCCAGTCGTGTTGTTGTGTTGCAACCGATGATTTATCTTGCATTGAGGATCATCCTCAGCACACTTTTCATCTTCGGCCTTGCTTCTGGTGAAACACTAATACAAGCAATAGCAACTTTCAAGACAGCAAGCATCTGATTTCTGACCACTAGTGATGTTCTAATGATATTAAAATCAAGGATGTGATCTAGCTTATCGGGCCGCACTGAGTTACTTAATACCCACTTGGCTAACTCAGTTCCCTCACTTACTGCTGGTTTTCCTGTCAGCAATTCCAGCAGTACAACTCCAAAGCTATAAATATTCCCAGCCATTGTTACCCTCATTGTGTATGCATACTCTGCAAACCACCAAAATATGTGATGAAAGGTCTAGGACAAAAACTGAGAGTTCATATTTATATAGTTTAGAGATGGTTAAAGGAACTGACAATATCACAGAAACAAAAATATTAGTTCATTTTTTAGCTAAATCATATGCAACAATAATTGGTTAACAAGTCAGTTGATTCACTTAAAAATTTCCTATTGTAAGATCATGCATGTCTAGAGGCCAAAGTATATATATATATATATCATGCATGTCAAACTTTACCCGGAGGAATATAACCTACAGAACCAGCAACAGTGGAGAGGCTTCCAGTGCTCTTGGAAGGATTAATTACTTTAAAAAGCTCAATGTCTCCAACCTGTGGCTCCTTCAAAGACTTAAGCACGATGCTTCTGCTTGAAAGGTCAAGGAGGAGAATCGGACTTGAAGTGCATCCATGCAAAAAAGCAAGACCTTGAGCTACTCCAACTGCTATACTGTAACGACTTGCCCAATCCAAAGAATATTTCAAGCTGCCATGAAGAATATCATGGAGGGTGCCCTTTGGAGCAAATTCATAAAATAGATATGCACTATCAACTGTCAATACATAGGCCAAAGGAATCATGACATTTGAATTGCTTAGGTTCCCCAATACCTCTAGCTCTTGCACAAATTTGTCATGGCTGCCCAATTGGAATATCTTGTCACTCCAATTAAGCTTCTTGACGAAATAGCTTGCTCCTGATGGCATGATAGCCTTGTAATAGGTGGAAAATCTGGTTTTTAGCACAATGTTTGCTGGACTGGCAATCACTTCCATGGCCTTGGCGATGTCAATATTAGATTTATGGATTCCATTTGCTGTCAATAAGTTGCCTCGTATAACCTGAGGGGGAGAAAGAACTTCCCATGATTGTAATTGGTTATCATTAACCTTGTGAAAGCGTCTTGAGATCAATAGAAAAATAATTGCAACTACCCCTACAGCAAGAACAGCCGCTGCAAGTGTAATGACAATTGTCATAGCAACTGATTTTCTATTTTTACTTGATACTGGAGAAGAACTTTCTGCAGGACGAAGTTCTGGGTTTCCACTTTTATTGACTGAAACATGTTGATTGAACATAGGAAGAACTCCTGACAGCTGATTATTGGAAAGTATTAACAGTGTCAGTGAAGACAATTGAGCAAGGAAATCAGGAACTTCACCTGAGAAGTTATTGTTAGAGAGATCCAAAACCTCCAAATTATTCAGTCCAGAAAGAGTCCTTGGAATAGGTCCTTCGAAGAGGTTGGAGCTGAGATTCAAAGAAATCTGCAACTTCAGTGGCATAGAGGGGATCCTACCACGCAATTTATTTTCTCCAAGCTGGAGTTCTAAAAGATAATTCAACTTACTGATGTTATCAGGTATAGAACCAGTGAGATCATTGCCTTGCAAGTTCAGGCTAAGAAGCTTTCCACAATTTGAAATTGAAGAAGGTATGGTGCCATTTAGTGAATTCCAGCTGATATTAAGTATGGATAAGATATTTAATCCTCCAATCTGACCCGGGATATCACCACCAAGCTTGTTGAGTTGAAGTTTCAGAACCTGAAGATTTGTAAGATGACCTAACTCCACTGGCAATGTTCCATTCAGCTCATTATGAGCCAAGTTCAACAATGCCAATTTTGTGCAAGAACCAATTTCAGTTGGTATCATTCCGGTAAAGGTGTTGTTTTCCAACTCCAAATACATCAAATTCTGAAGCGATGCAAATCTTACTGAAGAGATTGGGCCACTGAGATTATTGCTACCCAACCTTAACCTGACCAAACTTGGAGATATGCTTTCAGGTATTGGTCCATGCAACTTGTTATAAGACAAATCCACAGTGTGCAAATTTGATGGCAATAAAAACTCCGATGGAATTTCCCCAGTTATTTCATTATAACTAAGATCTAAATTTTTGAGAAATTTTGTGATATTACTAGGAATTGAACCAACAAACTTGTTTTGATTGGCTGCGAACCGCTGCAGTTTTGTGATTCGTGAAAGGCCGACAGGGATTGCCCCATTCAATTGATTGGAAGATAGAATCAGGATTTGCAACCTCGTAAGGTTCCCAACAGATTCAGGAATAACTCCCGTAAGCATATTGCGACTAAGATCAATCAGGATCAAATTCCCATACGTCCCAATATCCATAGGTATAGAACCAGTGAAGTTATTAACAGAAAGCTCAAGTCGTTCCAAAACCCTGGATTTTCCGAGGCGGCTAGGAACAGAACCATTGAAATTATTGAAGATAAGGTTCAAATTTTTCAGTGCACTCAAATCATTCAACTGCGAATCAATATTTCCACTCAAATGATTGAAAGATAAATCAAGGGATTCCAGCCCAGGAAACTTTTGAAAAGTAGGCAAAGAACCAACCAACATGTTATTGCTAAAGTTCAAGCTCTTTAACTCATCAATCCCTCCACAACTATTGAAAAATTCAATTGGGATTGACGTCAAAGAGTTGTTGGAAAAATCAAGAGACTGCAAAGAATCAATATGGCAAAGCATGGGTAGAAAGCTAGAATTAGAGAGACCAAACCCGGATAAAGAAAGGGAGACTACGGAGTTGTTGAGGGTGCTGTTGCATGTAACTCCTTTCCATTGGCATACGTTTGGTTCTTTTGCAGCATTCCAGGGCGAATTTGAGATGTTAAGCTGCCGAGAAACATTGATCATTACGTCCGTCTGGTTTGAAGTTAGTTTACAGAAGACCAAAGGAAATATACAGAAGAAGATATATACCAGCAAATATATGCTGTGAATGCAACTCCTCATGTTAGCTGTATGGAAGACCATATTCCAAGCAGGCTCTGTTTTGCTTTGAGTTAAGTTGGGAAGTTGGGAGGAGAGGGGACAGAAGCGAAGGGAAAAGAACAGAGCAGAGAATAAAATGAGAACGGAATTCGAGTAACACAAGAGAGGGAGAGATGTTGGGGGAGGGACGGGGGGATTTGCGATTTTCTACGTGGAAATTCATGGGAAAGTGGAGAAGGAAGAAACACGTTAGGCGTGTTGGGAGCGGAGTTGACTGCAAACAACATAAAAATTGACCGACTGACAATGGCTTTTTGGGAGCGGCAGCTATTATTTCTCTTTACCCTTTTTTTACGTCTTTTACTCACTCGTTTATACTCTCGTAAGATTGGTCTTTCTATGCCAAGGAATCCACATTAGCGATAAGAAGGAAGTGCCAAAATTTTGAAATTTTAGGTTTTATTAAGTATATGGATTTTTTTAATTAAGTTATAATTTATTAATTAATTATTTAATTAATTATATAAATATAATATTTGATTATGAATATAATTAAAAAGATTGATCTTTCCATCAACTTAAATAATTCTCTTGTAAAGAGAAATTGATTGTTTAATAGTAAGTGAGAAAAAACTAGCGAATTCAGATGATGAATCATGAGTGGAAAGAAAACGATTCAAAGTCTTTGTGTGCGGGGGTCCCCTGGCGGAGAAGAGCTTTGAATGCAATTTGAACACGCGTTTTAAAGACTTCTAGTTTTGGAGTCTTGGTTACGGTCCAAACCAAGAGCGAAGAGGACGCAAACGCGTGGTTTCATGTTGGATTTCGGTACCGATTATTTCGCTATGGATTATTATTTTAGGTTCAAGGAAATTAAGTTAATTTTGGATTTTAACCATTTCAAATTCAATCATTTTAAATTTAGATTATTTTGAATTTAATTATTTTAAGTTTGAGATATTTTAAATTCAAAATATTTAAAAATCATGAAAAAATGATAGTATGTAAAATACTTGTTATTTTAAAAATATTCATATTTGAATTCAATTATCAAATACAATAGTCATATTATATTCAAACTAGTTTAACAATTCCCTATTAAAGCCCAATTAAAATATGCAAAAATTTATTTAGTTAAAAATTTTATAGGTATCCATTACAAAAAGCCAATTCAATCCAAGTTCAATAATAAAAAATATAAAAAATAAAATCAATTTTTTATATTTTGATTAATCAAAAATAAATTAATAAATTTTAAAATAATTTATAAATTTTAAGAAATAATTAGTCATGTAAAAGTAATATATTAAAAATAATATAAATATTAAATAAATATAAAAAAGTTATTATTTGTAATCAATTTCAATTAACGAATACTCTAAGCTTATTACCCATACCTTATCTAAACTCATTTATAAGGCACCCTAATCTTATTTAAATGGATCGAATAGTACCCAATACTTATTTATACCATACTTATTACCATCGTTAGGATTATTTAGGTTTATTGGGTTCAAATCATCTTTAGGGTTATTAAGGGTCAGGTCATATTAGGTTTAAGTTATTAACTTTTAAAATTAAATCAATTTCACTCTTAAATGAGTTGTTTAAATAAAGTCAAATTTTATCAAATACAATTAGATTATTCAAAGTTTTCAATTTTAATTTTTCATATCATAAAAAGTTATAAAAATTTGATAATCAAATACCTAATTTCTATTTTCATAGAAAAAACCTTTTCTATAAATTAAGCCAAACATCTTCCAAAAAGTTAGAAAGTTACAAGGTCTAAAGAATACAAACAATGTGAACTCTGTAGTTGAAGTTGAAATCCTCTTGTATCCTTCTTTTATGCACTTTAGTTGAACAAAATGGAATATTCAATATCAATATAAAAACGGTTTCAAGGAGTGTTACTTATGCTATTATTTCTAAAGCTTATTTCACCCTTATTGATAATGGTATGCGAAAAAGGCTAAATAAAAAAACCTTCAAAATACAACAAAAGCTTGTTTGAATCACCTTGCACTAGTGAAATTAAGCCATTAAAAGCCCCTTGATGAGAGACAAAAATGCCTTCTTTTTACCAAGACTTTTTACAGCAAATAATGCTAAAAAAATCTTTTATTTGTGAAAAGAAAAAAAGGAGAAAAAAGAGAAAGAATTCTAAAATTTTAAATATGTCAAATGAGCCTACAACAATATTTATTTATAGAGATTAAATCCTAATATTATGACTTTTTAATTGTTTTGTTTCAATCAAAAATCACTTCTTTTATTATAAAGATGTCATTTTGAATAATAAAGGACGTATTGGTTCAAAAAATCAATCAAACTTATCATATCAAGAGAAATCATTTTTCACATTTCTAGAAGTTGTAACTTTTTATGCAAAGTAATTGACTCGACCTAGAAAACAATCGACTGCCACTTTGTACTTTTAATTTCTAGAATGCTTTTTAAAGTAGGGCAATCGACTCCTTTTTAAAACAGTCAACTTCTTTCAACTTACAAAATACATTCATCACTTGAGCAATTAGTTGACTTTTATCAATTTCCATTATGATTTCACCTATAGGGCAATCAATTTTTCTTTAAAAGTAGTTGACTATTGTGTTCTAACTAATAGTTTAAAAGATTTCTAATCTATAGTAGTTGATTTCCCTAGGATTAGGAATTAATTGGATTGATTTTCAACCATAGCAGTCGGCTGCCTTAAACTAGCAGTCGATTGCTAATTATATAAAGACTATAGCTCCTATTTGTCAAAACAGTAAACTCTAAGCTATTAGTAATCGATTACTATTCTTGAAAGTCTAAAACAATCGACTTCTATGTGCACGGCAATCAATTGCCTACATGAGCAATCTTCTTATTTCGATACTTTGAATCTAGAATAATGTTATTGAACTTTGGAACCTTAGCTTAAGATATTTTATAGCTTAATGTAATTTCTCTTTAATTAAGTCATTCTGAATCCTAAGTATTGAGCATGCATGAATGAAATGATAATTCAATGATACATGTAACATATATATTTAGAATTAAATACAAATGCATAAGGATAGATCAAGGGTGAGTTTTTAGGGTTTAGAGTTGATTTGGGATTTAAGGTCTAGAGTAAGGTTTAGGGTTTGGTTGAAGTCTAGGGGTTAGGTATCATTTAAGGGTTAGTTTAAGGTTCAGGGTGGCTTAAGGTTGTTTTGCTTTAGTTTGGTTAGGGTTTAGGTTAGATTGATTTGAGGTCTAAGGCTTAGGTTTGATTTGGTTAGGGTTTAGGTTAGGTTTAGGGTCTAAGTTATGGTTTAGAGGTTTCGTTAAGGTTTATGTTTAGGTTGAAGGTTGACGATTTAGGATTTTAGTTTTGGGTTTGGTTAGGGTTCAAGGTTTAGGTTCAAGTTTGAGGGCTTGGGTTTTAGTTTGTGGTTTAGGATAGGTTTAGGGGTTTGGGATTTTGTTTCAGGATTTGGTAGGGTTCAGAGTTTAGGTTAAGGTTTAGGATCAACTTTGATATAGGTTTAAGGGTTTGGTATGTCAGTTTAGCTAAGGTTGAGAGTTTGGGGCTTTGATATAGGGTTTAAGATAGGTTTAGAGGTTTGGGGTTTCGGTTTAAGGTTTAGGATAGATTTAGAGTTTGGGGGTTTAGTTAAAGTTTACGTAAGGGTTTAGGGTTGGCATAAGGGTTTATGGTTTGCATTAGGGTTTAAGGTTTGTATTTAAGGTTTGGGGTTGGTATGAGAGTTTAGGGTTTGTGTAAGGTTTTACGATTTGCATGGGATTTAGGGTTTGTGTTTAAGGTTTAAAGTTTGCATGGGGTTTAGGGTTTATGTTTAGGGTTTAAGTGGTGCATGTGACAAAATAAATGTGGAATCAATGCATAATGTAACTTTTGATACATGATATGGGATTAAACATGAAAGCCCAAAACTTACGCATATTCACAAACACATCATGAACTAAATATGAACACAAAAACCTAGCCAAAAGAAAATCAAACACCTTGAGGATGAAGGTTTGGCCAAACATGTTTAGGGCTAGGCTAAAATCTTCAAGGCCATTTTAAGCTTTTAAAGCATTGGCCAAACATATACAACAATGTATCCACCATTTTATTTTAAATCAAACACATGGAAAACAAAGTAAAATTTACTAGAAAGTTCACTAACTTAACATTTTTATTCTTTGAAAATTTTATCAAACACATAAAAAACATAAAAATCTAACTACAAACATAAGCAAACAAGCATGAAAATATCAACTTCTTAGCTAAGAAATGCATTGGAGGTCTCGACCAAGTAATGGGAATGTTAGGCCGAGAACCTTCCATGGCCTAACCATAATCACTCCAACATTCCTCTTAGGTAAGACATGTATCAAACACTTGAAAACTCACTCATAAAGGCACTTTATTATTAAGGAACTTTCATCAAATAAGTAGAAAACTTACTAAAATAACATGTTAAAAACATACATATTAGCCGAACAAACAACATAACCCATAAGAGTAGTAAACAATCATGCAAATAACAAGCAATAAAACCACAAACACATCAATATACATTAATCTAAGCAAGCAAAACATAAACATGAGACAAAGGGAGGTTTGACCACGGCATAGGGAGGTTTAGTCGAACTTTCAATGGTGAATGTCTTGATATTTCTTGATCACATTTACTTCAAACCATTGAATTGAAAAAAATCTACAAGTGCACAGGTTGTACAAGTAATAATAATAACCAAAAAGTCAAGATGACAATTTCACGAGGATTAGGTAGAAATTCCTAAGCTAATGGAATTAAGGAAAATGGAAATGATGTCACATAGAGCATAGAAATGACACCTAGCATTATCATGAAATGAAAGCTAAATGTTGCAATTGTAACTGAATTTGAAGCAAATATTAACCAACCTATATAAACACATGATCTAAGAATAATGACTAAACAAAATGTAAAAGAAAAGTAAAACAAACAGAAATACAATAAACAAGAAATGATAAACACAAGTTATAAACAAATTTTTGATTTCATAGTTTCGACTTCTAATGCACAACTAAAACTACACCTAAATTGGAATATGTATGAGAGAATAAAGGATTAAATGAAAATAAATTGAAAAAGAAAACATGCAAAAAATTACACAAGTAGTGTATAAAAACTAAATCCAATTATGACCTATGTTAGAACAGCATGAATGTTGAAAAAAAAATTTTAAATGTAACCATATGCTAGAAAAAAGCTTCATCTAAGCTAGAACAACCTAAATCTATGAGTTAACTACCTAAATCAACAAAAAA